CAAGATGTGCGAATGGCATTAATTAGAAACTCCTCTTCCCTTGAGGTAGCCCCTTTGTGTTTCATAGGTGACAGAAAAGAAAAAAACCCACAAAACTTCTTATGTGTGTCTGGTTCAACCCAGACAGTAACTGCAGAAGGTTCTGGATCACAAGCAAGTCCAAGGCAGCAAATCCAAATGCCTGACTGTGTAATACAGCTGCGGAGAGGAACAGCCAGGAGTGAAATGTCAATCAGAGCTTCAGGAGAGTCTTGGACATTCCAAACTTGGTGTCACTCTGACGCCTCATCAAACAGGAAATTACTTTTCCAAGGCCATCTGGGATCTCGGCAGAAATCAGCGCATCATCAGCATAATAATGGAAACTAAAATGATGCCTTTGCATGGCGGTGCCTGAGGGGCACCTCTGCACACTGCGTTCTGTGAACAAAATATTCAAGGTGAAACCAACGGCATTTTGGTTTCCTGATAAAAAGACCTAGGAAAAGTAAAATTAAGGCGCTTCCTTTCCCTGTGGTGAACAAGGTGCCAATGACACCTCTTGTGCGTAAACTTGCATCCCTCTTCTCAGCTTGGCCTCTATATGAGTCTGAGGTTTGGGGAGGCTCCAGTGTGACAAAAAAAAAGCCGTGCTTCTGTGCCTGCAGTTCCCCAGCAAGATGTATCTTAATGCCATTGCTGATGGAGATGCTTATAAACAAGGTAATGGCCATGGGGGTCAATGGTTATGGCAACACGGAGAGTTTCCAAGGTGCAGGTGAGCTCAGTGGGTCTGTGGGCTGGAGAAACATCCTGGGCAGCTCCTGTGGCCTCATTAGCCACCCGAGACCTCTGTGGCCACTCATCCCTCCCTGACCCGAATCTCCTGCCTGACCCATAAGAAGAAGGGTCCTGTTTCTCCATGTTGCAGTGGACCTCACTGTGCTCCCCAGGTGTCTCTCACGGAGCCAGCGAGTCCGTTAAGCCACAGCTCTGTCTGCATCTTCATCTCTGACACAAACTGTGCCACCAGCATGTCTCATTAGCAAGACTGTCACATCAGCAATGTGGTGTGAGGTTGTCGGGGAAAGCACAGGGAGCGAAAACCTGAGGAGGTATGCCTTGTACCTCGGGCTGCTTGGAACAACCTGTTAATTCCTTGCATGTTTGCTAGTGATGACAGGTGGCCAAAGAACAGGAGAATGCTAGCATGGCACGCAGTGCCGCTCCAATGTGCCGGGGAGGAACGTGTGGTGGCTGCTGGGCACTGATTCATTTTCTCAAATGTGCGACGTCCCCTCAGGCACTGTGGCAGGATTTGAAGCACGTTTCCTAGATCCTTGTGGCTAAGCTAGAAATAATGCATTTATAAGATCAGAAGCCATTCACTGCTTGAGTTAAGTGCCTTGAAAAGGCTGAGTCACTTGTACAGGGAGGTGAGCTATACGGGGATCTGGGTTTCCTTCTGAAAACACCTTTTGTTGTTGCTGCAAACACTGCTGGTGCTCTGCCTGCAACCAGGCTGCTGCTTTCTTGCTGGCTTTGAGCACACCTGTCCTGCCATGGCTTCTGTGAGTTGGATTGCACGTTCCTTCCCTTAAAATAATTAACAGAAATCTGGCATGCCTGAAAAGCATTAAGGGGTAGAAGTGCTGTTGAGATTTGGGAAATTAAGCCTGATCTGAGACTCATTAAAGCTGGTGGTAGTCTGTCTTCTGACTTCGGTGGATCACACTTATGAAGTGTAGTATTTTATAACTCACCTTATTCAAATTTAAGCCCAGATAGTCAAAAAGATTTTTCTGGAGGTGTCAATATCCCTGTTAGGTTAGGTCCTATGGAAAATCAGGGATTTAGCTTTACTTTTATCTATTGAAGGCTTGTGGGTTAGGCAGCAGTGTGATGTTTATGTTATAGCAGTTCCTTTAGTAATGGCTGCAGGGGTTATGGTACATGGTGCTGGAGAGGGTTCAGGTGGGGTAGATGCCTAGTTCTCCTGCCTGTGCCTAGGTGGGTGTTATGTACCCAGTCTGATATTGTCAGTGCACAACGTGGGGCAATTTTTCTAAAATGGAGCATAAATGTAGACATGTTGGAAGCATGGAGATCTGTCTTCCCTTGCTGAGCTTCACTGCTCCTCCCTGACCAAGGGAAGCCTCTTAGTTCCTGCACATCTTGGATAAGGTCAACAGGTTCCACCAATGGACAAATGCAGAAGTAATTACCCTAAATCTTAATGTGGGTTTTCAGTACTCCAGGCTTGAGGTGACTTGAAAGGTCCCGCATCCCTGCCCAGTGCCAGCCTGCCTCCTGGCTGTGCCAGAAGTTTGGTATTTGCAGCCAGAGCTCTTTGATTGTCTCTTCCCAGCAGGTAATAACATCACTAATTAGTTTCCTAATTTGTGCTGTCCAAATGTACCTGAATTTCTAGGAATTAAAACCGGCATGGAACCTGACGCAGTGGTGAATGCAAGTGGAAGTAGGACTGGGTGTGTTAAAAATGTTGGTTATATGCTCTAAAAAATGAGCTGGGGTCAAGGGGTACCTCAGGTGGATCCTGTTGTGGGTGGCGTGGGCGCTGCGATGCTTCCTTACTGTCCTTGTAATAGACTTATAAGTCACCGACTGTTCTTGATGATAAATGTGTCTTCAGGCTGTTCCAGCCACAGACCTGAGAGGAGTGCTTTTGGGGGAAATCAAACCAAAGACGATAGCTTAAATTAGATAGATGATGTTTAAATCACCTTGGATGTGAGGCTCTCTTGGATCCTTATGTTGTGCAACCATTAGGCACAACAGTGTGTGTAGGTATGGCTTGACCTTGTGAAAGTTGTGAATATTGTATGTGTATTGGGTCACGTTTGTGTTGGGGGATGGCTTTTTGATGGGAGGAACTTAAAATATCATATATTGAACAGAACTGTGATATGGGAGTTGTCAAAAGCTGACTGAAGAGGGGTGCCTTCTCAGTGAAGCAAAAATACTGTAGCAACAGAATAAAATGCACATGATGAATGTACGTGTGCTGTGTAGTCAGGTACTGCCACATAATGTGGCCCAAGAGATGATATGACAAAAAGAGTTTGGGTTAAGAAATCAGATTATTTTTCATGTGGGGGAGAGGGGCTATGGGGAAGGTCAGGCAGAAGGTTGGCCAGTTTGGGGTGGATGCTGCCAGGTTGTCTCTGGAGCTAGCTCCTGGGGCAGCAGATCATGCAAGGAGGGAACATGGATTTGTCTTAGGATCTGTGATGTAGATCCACACTTTTTTGCCCGGGGCTGAGTCAGGATGCCGCTGTACTTGCAGCCTTCACCATGCTTCCCTTGTCCTTTGCTCATTAAATGTGCAGGGTTAAATACAGAGGGGTTGCTTTGCTGGTTCCTGAAACGCAGAGACCTTTGATGTGAAATCAGGCAGCCTATTGCCATATTTTCTACGGAAAGCCAAAAAAGGATATTGAATTAAATTGAATTGCATTATGTAGCATCGGAGGGGCAGGACTTCCTCAGCCTGCCACCTGCTCCTGCATGCCATGCACGTCCTGCTGCCTTTGCCGAGAGTAGTCAACAGGAACAGGAGAGGAGACAAAGTGCCTCGGGGAAAACTTTTAATACCATTCCCTGACGTCAGTTTTAGCGCTTGGCTTGTTAGGTGAGGAGCCGAGTGACCTGCCGTTAGCAGGAGCCGTTCTGTGCTGCTGGCTGGTCAGGCAAGAGGTGCTGCGCTGCTCCTGGCAGAGGGATGGGGCTTGGGGTTCCCCGAGTACCTCCTCGGGTTCAGTCCGAGCGCTCTGGTTCCTCTGCACTCCGTGGGAATTGTGCTTTTCCATTTTCAGCTGAGTAGCTGTGAACTGGTTGGATTTGCTGGCAGCCCTAGCCTCAGTTTCCCCGGAGCCATTGATAGCTTTGCTGGGGTGGGTACTTCGTGTGCTGGCCCTCTGCTGATTAACCTGGTTCTTTGGGTCAATTCAGGCTGTGACTGTGTCTCAGAGCTTTTTCTTTATTTTCTACCCAGTCCTTTAGTCTCTGATTGCTGTAATCTAATATTTGGGTCATCAGTAAAGATATTTTGTTGTGATTGTCGCTCCCTTTCCTTTTGGGAATGGTCTGTGGCCATCTGATCTACGCTTTGTTTTGAACTGTTTGGCTATTTGAAATGAAGAACTAGCTCTGCACTCTTGCGTAGACCTGAGACGGGGCAGGTGGACCAATGCCCTGCCTGGGCTGGCTCATGTTTTTTCAGAATTGTTTCATTGTGTGTATTTTGCATCTGAGAATGACAACATCTCAGAGCCAGGTCATGCTGCTGGGGGAGGTTATTTTAAGCTGTCACGTCTGAGGAGCAGTGATGTCAGTTCTCCAGCTCTCTTTTAATTACTAGTTTTAAGCATCATTAAGTAAAAGGAGAAGAAATAGTGGCTAGGACAGGTATACTGATGTGAAGCTATGGCTGTGGTACAGTCTGATGAACAGCAAGGGTACAGTTAAGCTGTGCTGTGGTCTTTGGGTAGAATGGGCCAGAGGCAGAGGGAAAGTCTCCTCTGAATTGCCTTCCCGTGGCGCACGAGTGCAATAACCATCTCGTGCCTGAACTTCCCAAGAGGCTGGTGTGGTCCTTGGGGGCTGGGAAGGAAAGAGGATGTCTTCTCCAACGGGTCTGTGTGGTACGTTAATAACGATGTGAGGTTGGTAACATCAGAACCACCTGGAACCGTTCGAAATGGAGCAGGTAGAAACTACTCACCTTGCATTCATTCCTCCTTATAGGTCCTCTTTTCATGACTGCTGAAAAGCTGGTGAAGGATCAGCGATTAAAGAACGATCTTCACCTGAGGATAGTATTCTTTGTTGTTTCTGCTCAGCATGAGGTACCACCAGATGGTTCTTGGTTGCGATTTAGAGCATGACTAAAATTTATTTTTCAGGCACTTAGGAATTAAATAAATCCCATTTGTCTCTTCCTGCTCTTCCCTTCCCCTCCAAGTTCTGTTCTGAATTTCCACATTCCGTTTTCCTCGTAGAATGAAGTGGAGCTGGGAGAGCTCCTGTTGTCACTGAACTACCTACCCAGTGCGGGAAGACTGAACGTGGACATCATTAGAGCAAAACAGCTTCTTCAGACGGACATGAGCCAAGGTTCAGGTAAAGGGCAGTGCATTTCTCACCTTACTCATGCACAGATTATATGTGCTTTTAAAGCAGATCAGTGGTGAGGCTGCAATCTGTGGGGGACCCAGGGGGATTTGGATGCTCAGTTCCAATTAATACAAGGCTCTGGATATTCTTTTTGTATATATAGCCAAGAATAATGAAAGTATTACTCTGAGTTAAAATGGAGGGTGTGAATACCTTTGCTATATTCAAAATAAGAATCTCTGAACCAGGGTGAGGTGAGGAACTAGGAGCTCTAAATGACACCCATGTTGTGTTCTGTAAGGCAGCCTGTTTGTGGCTGCACTGTGTTTTGCAGATGCTGTGTGCTGCCTGAGTGTTAATGTTGCAGGGGTTTCATGTATGATATCTAGCTGCTCTGTGGATGGCTTGCTGTTTTTCTAGTGTCCATGCATTGCTTCCTGCTGTTTCTGAGCTGGCTGGCAATTGCATCATACGTATGTCCTCAGATGTTTTTCCCTTGTTCCCTGACCCAGCCACTGCTGCTGCCAGAATATTGGCATTTTCCAAAAAGAACAGTGTGCTTGGCCTCTATCAAGGCTGTCATTAATTGTGGTTTTGGCAGGGAGCATTTTTAATCCAGCTGCATGACTTTTGTCTCCACTGCAAATCCCTGGGAGCAGCACTGTGGTACAAGTCCCAGTCATTTCCAAATGCTGTTCTCCAGCATGGTCCATCCGTGCGGTGCCCAGCCTTCACAAACTGGAGTACTGACTTGTGACGCCCATAACGCAGAGCCTGTGTTTTGTGTTTTTTTGTTAGATCCCTTTGTGAAAATTCAGCTTGTTCATGGATTAAAATTAACAAAAACCAAGAAGACCTCCTGCATGCGGGGGACGATAGATCCCTTCTACAATGAGTCCTTCAGCTTCAAGGTTCCACAGGAAGAACTGGAAAATGCCAGCCTAGTGTTCACAGGTAGATGTGGCGGTGTTAACAACTTGGCACAGTCCTGGTTGTCTCAGGGGTGAACAAAGAAGCAGCTGTGGGTGTGCAGATGAGCCTGTGCAGGATGATGTCTGTCCCATCAGCCACCCTACAAGGGGTGACCATCGCTGGGGTCTCCAGGGAAGCTTAATTAGCACTCCGTCCTCTACAGAGCTGTTCCCAGCATTGCCGTCTGATGGTTGGAGCTGTCTGGGAGCACACCTCGTCGATCCTGCACTTGATTGGTGCCATTGGGAATGCTTTTGTGCAGAGGAGGAGGCATTAATGGCACTTCTCAGCAGCAACCAACTTGGGCATAAAGTCAAAAATTAGAAGAATGACAGGGAAGTATTGAACAATCCCAGAGCCCAAACACTGGCAAAGATAACTTCTGGTACTTGGCATAATTTGCTGGTGAGATGGTGCACCTATAGGTGTTTGACATCACCTCTTTTGTAAGCAGGTTTGTTCATGTCTTTATTTTTAAAGGGCTGGGACTTGTTGCCAAGCCCTGCATGGCACAGCTGAGGTAGACTAAGACACAGACCATGCAGGCTGTGGGCCAGGAGGAGTCCCAGAGATAACCTCACTTGAGAGCTTTGTTAGTGCTGGAGATGTTTGGCTGGGATAGGAATTCTTATTTTTAAACAGTTTCTGAATCTCCTATTTTTGGTCTCTAGGCATGAAAACAGGAGAAATTAGCAATTGGGTGTGCTGCTCGGAGCAGGAGTGGTAAAGGGCAGGGATGAGTCCCCAGCTGTGCTCTCACCTGAAGCCTGGGCAGCAGTGGTGGGGCTGAACTGAGGCTGTGGACGCGCTGTGGCCGGTGGCCTTTTCTGCTGTTCTGCAGCGTGGAGGTCTTGGGCAGGGCTGCAGGGACCCCTAGGAAGTGGTGGGTCTCCCTCCCACACCATGGCTTCACCCAGCCGATGTGTGCTGTGGAGCTCAGGAGCAGGGTCAGACCTTCTTTCCCTCTGGAGGAGCAGAGGGGCTGGGTGGTGGGATGCACACTCTTCTGCCACACTGGGCTCCCATGCTTCCCAAACATGTTTTTTGGCAACTTGCCACCCATTACTCACCATCTTTCAATGAAGAGAAAGGAATCTGCATCTGAAAGAACATATTTTGAAGTATTTTTAAATTTTATTTCTTACATGGCGGATACACGTGTCAAAGCTGGTACAAGGAGCCTAATTCCAAGCCATTTGTTTGTTTCCAAACATGTTACAACGAAAGTGATGCTGATCAGCAATTTAAATTTTGCCCTTCATGCTCAGAATTTTCCTCAGCAAGAAGTCTATAATTAATTACTGCTTCACATGCACGTCACCCTGACTGTACCTTGCATGTGCAATGATGAATTTGTTCTTGGAAGCCTCCATCAGGTGATCTTGTGACAGGTGTGAAATACTCTTTTCTTTGTTTTCCCCTTTTCCTAATAGAAGAAGAAATGCAAACAGAGTAGCAGCTCTGTGCAGTCAGAAGGGTGAGGGGAATATGCTGCCCCTCACCATGGCTGATAAAGTTAGCGTTAACGAGTGGATGTCTGATTATTATTTTTTTTCTGTGCAAATGGTTGTGTTCTCAAATAAGTCAATGGGAAGTTAGCTGATTTATAATCATATGTAATGCAGTTGGGTATCAGTGGCATGCCTTTTAAGTGGTGCTTCACTTTCTAAGTGGTGTTGCTTGCTTTGAACATTGCAATAAATAATCCCAGGCCAGAAATGTCACCAGCAGCTCCAAAGCTGGGAAGGAGCATGCAGAGCTTTTCAGAGAAGCAGCAGGGCCGGGTTCCTGTGGCTGTCTTGGACTGAAGGGTGACACTCAGCTTGGGCACGGCACTGCTGCAGGTGTCGTTGGGCTTGCTGCTTTTGCTGTGATCAGGACCTGTTGTTTTAGATACGTGGTTTGGGTAGCCAATATCTGGCTGGAGCCAGAGGTGTTGGTCACGTTGTTGTACGTACTGTCTTCTGCTGGTTCCGTGTCTGCGCTGCCTCCTGTTGTTAGTGGAGCCAAGAGTCCCTCTTGTGAGGACCTCTGAGTCGGGACTCCTGCACAGGTGTCTGCAGTGTCAAGCGAGTGAGGTGGTTCAGGGGATGTAGTGGTGGTGAAGATGCTGAGCCACCTTCAGTGTTCACCTAAGTGGTGGAGATGCCTTGGATGTTGGTGGAAGTGTGTCCCCAACAGGGAGTAAAGCACCAGTTTATTCTGTGTGCATCTATGAGGTTTTAATAAAATGAGTATCAGCATGCAGCTTGGCTGAAGTTCTGGGATGGGGGTGGGGGTGGTGGTATTCCCCATATAGCTGCCTTCTTGTCGTCTTTGGGTATTGTGCAGATTAAAAGCTGTAAAGGGCTTCGGGATCTTTTGTTAAAAGACAATAAAGAGGAAGTAGTTGCCAGCATGGAGAAGCTGAACCTTGCAATGTCAGGATCTTTTTATTATTTTGCATCTCAACAAAGCAGTAGCATAAGCCACTTTTTTTTTTTTTTCTCCAGGTTTTTTGTTTTAACTTGGGGTGGTTTTTTGGCTGCAGTGGTGGTTCTTTCTGTTGTGTGTTTTGTGGGAGTTGTTTTTTATTTCTATTTTTTTCAGACCACAGCTCTAGTCCATTAGGTCAGTTAATTAAATTTGCTGTTGAGTCAAAGTCCAATTGAAAAGGAAAATAATCTTGCTTGAAGGGTGGGTGATGATGCTTTGAATGGAGAGAGAGCTGTAAAAGCAGTCATGGGAGCCAGAAATGAGTGTGTCTTCAATAATTTAAAGGAACCTTTTTTGTGGCTTCATATTTTGGACCCAGTCTGCATCTGTCTTTACATTGGCTTGGCTTCACGGGAAAGCAGTGGAGCTGTGCCAGTCCCTATCAGCTGAGACTCCTGGCTCCCTCTGTGTGGCTGGTACCACACTGCAAAGTAAGGCACTATCTAGACAAAGTACAATTAATTTTTTTTTTTCCTTGTGTGTTTTTCTCCTGTGCATCTTGAATCAAACTCTCTGGGTTTAGTGCACTGTAGTAAGAATTTATGCACCATTTTGCTGTGACTTTAGCGAGGACTGTGTGCGCAAACACTGCAGATGGATGGTTTTCTATAAAGCACTGTTCTGCTCCCTGCTTTCCTGGTGGTGCCCTGGAGAGCTGCACTTTGGACCTAACAAAGGGTTGAAGTGCAGCCAGACTAGGAGACGGACAGTGGGTGCCCCCAAGATGGGGTGCATGGGGTGAACTCTGCCTTAGCCAAGGTTTGGGGTTGTTTGGGTTATTCTTAGATCTTTCCTCCTCCTTAGGCATACTAGGATTCAAAAGTGTAAATTATTGGCGCTTACAGACCAAATGTTTCTCCTTCCACACTGGTGCAGGACGTCTTCTACGAGCTGTCTTTCTGCCTTCCCCTCTGTTCCTACCTCAGGTGCTTACTGGAGCTGTCACTGACTCACATGTCACAATTTAGTGCCTAAAATGAGGTGGGATGAGCTCAGGTGAAGATATCCTCTCCAGGAGGAGGATTGCTGCTGCAAGTGTCATCTGTTGACAGCTTCTGAGCAAAAAATGCTTAAAACCAGGAAAGTGACTGATACTTGTAACCTAATGCCCAACAGAAGAAAGATGATGAGATGAGTGAGCGAGCTAGTGGAGAAAATGTTTGATTTTCATTTACTCCATCAAACATGTTGTCTATGTAATGGACATCCACATACATACTGTAACAGAAATGCACTTTTTTGAGTGGGTTTTTTCCCCACTTTTCAATTTGGGTGGTTTTTTTTTGGTGACTTGATGCACATTGCCCCCCTGTGCCATCTTCTCCTCGAGTGCAAGCAAGTCAAGGGTTCCCCTCTTACAGAGAAATGGATCAGGCTTTGAAAAACAGTATGTTCTCATAACCATATATACCTGTAAACAAAGGTGTTAATGATTCTTTGTCCCGTGGTATAAGGGGAAGGTGGAGTTTGGCCCCCAGCAGGAGGGCTGTCAGCTGCTGCCCAAGGTAATTTCCAAGCAGAAAAAAGGATATTTGAAGTGCGACTGTAGCCTCTGCACTCGGGAGGGCTGGATGCTGGGTGCCTAGAGACACTGCACACTCACCGCTGGTGGGTTTTGGGCAGGCTGTCCTCTAAATCCCAGCCTAACCTTCAGAAACCTGGGATGTGCAGCAAGAGGTTAGACGGCACCTGAAATGCGAGCACTGTGGTTTTCTGTTAATGATTATAATGTTAATAACAATCGTTGGTAATGCTGTTTGTGTTGCAGTAAAGCCCAGATGGCCCAATAAAAACCACCAGTGCTCAGGGGCAAACTGCGTCTTGGTGACTTGTTAACATCTTTTGATCACTTACCATAAAAAAATACAACCTTCAGTGCTCACAGTTAGGGAGTATATATCTCCCTGAGGTCCTGTGGTGAGACTGTGTTTCTCCATCTAAATAAGCTCTTGTACATGTTTACATGACAGGATCTTTAGGGCTTGTGAAGCAAGCAGGGTCCCCAAAGAGAGAAAAATCATTTTCATGCTCTGGGTGCCATCTGTGCAAATGCAGAGGGAAAACCTGCTTTGCTGTCTGACCTGGCCGAGAGCGTACACAGAGCTGGGACAAGCATCGGGGCTGATGGTGTCCGATGGAGAGCAATGGTGGGGCTTGTCTTACTGCACAGTTCCCGTGTGAAAGGTGGCCATGGCTCCAGCAGGACAGCATGCTCTGCCCAGGAGAGGGAAGTGGGCTGGGGCAGGGTTTGCTTGTTGATGGAGAGATAGGCCTCCATGCATGTGTGACAGCTGGTGAGATCTTCATCATCAGTACTGTCTGAGGGTGCAGCTTGCAGGTGTATTCTCTTATGAACCATTTATATGATTTCATATTATTTTTTTTCACTTTTCAGTATGTTTTAAAAATGGACCATGTCTCAGTTTTCTATAAAGATTCAGGGCCAATTTAAAAATTTTATTTATTTTTTTTTAAGTATTTGAGTTCCTGAGGGAGCACTGCTGAAC